TGGTGATACTTCTAGCATCTTCTAGCACTACTGACTACGGTTAGTACCAGGTACTCCTACCCAACTACTATAGCTGTTGATAGGTGTGCCGTCAACAACGTGGCCCAAGGTGTTGCGGTCCACGGACTTCTCAGATGTTAAGGCTAAAGAGGCTGGGACCTGTTCGGGGGTTTGCCGGAAGTTGCCACGCGAGACTGAGAAGACATGAAGGCACGGCAATTAGTAGTACGATGACCACTACATCGACTTCAATTTGGTTTCCACTGTAAACGAGAGACTAACGTGGCTGCTGCTACGGTCATATTCACACTTTGCAACTTTTGATTCTGTTCTTGTTATAGCTGACGTTGCTGCTTGTGCCAAGCTTGCAGACATTGCTGCTAGTAACATGAGTACACTGAAGACGACTTGTACGGTTTTCATGGTCATCAAAGCAATCCGACCTTGGCGGCTACAAGAAGGCTTTTGCAAACGCAATCAGTCCTGCTGCTACTCTTCCAGACGCATCAGTAATGACCATTGTAGTTCTGCAATTACGATGGTGATTGCAATCGCGATCTTTGCAGCTACTTCTGTTAATGAGGCCCCCAATGACAGCTTCAATCTTGAGACTGTACCACTGCTACCACCGCTACTTCTACTCGTCCTACCAGCGCTGCAAATGCCACTATGACTACTTCTGCACCACACATCCTGCCACTGCCACTGCCACTGCCACTAGCGTCGTGACAGTCTTCGTCCTTCGAGAGCTTCCACTTTGCACAACACTGTAATTTAGGGTTTAGGGTTCCCTTTTAAGGTGACTATGAGGGTCTAGGGTTTAGGTGTTACGTCCTACCACTCGTGTGGCATGTCGTCTATGCCTATGAGATTTGTGGGTCGAAACCCTGAGCAAGCATCCCGAACGGCAAAACCCGAAACCCCCACATGCCAGGGCCTCCATGGAAGCCGAATGCAGCAAGCTGACAGCGGATGTGGGAACTGAGATGCAAGGGCTCGGGGCTCTGAAGGGGCTCTGAAGGGGCTCTGAAGGGGTTCTGAAGGGGCTTAGGGGTTTAGGGGTTAGGGTTCCAAAATGGTTCCATAAAGGTTCTATATTGGGCTTAGGTCTTCGGGTTCAGGATTCCCGGTTTGGGGCGAGCACGTGTGCAGAAGAGCCAGGCAAAAGAGTGCTCGGTACTAGTACAAGCATGATGTCCAAGCTTTATCATCTCCATCAGCCTGTGTGGGACCGTGACCAGGAAGTGTCATGTGAATGACAGGATATTGCTGTCAGCCTTCTCATTGCTGCTGCCTTTGTATCGTCTGGTGATCTCGTGTTTTTCACCGCCGGGGCCGTTTTGGATGCATCAGCTCAGTCAATCCTGCACCACTTGAAAGGCGCGGAATCTGTGTCGCATGTCTTGGTTATGTCAGTTGCCGGCACCCAGAGCCCCTTCAGCAGCCTGCACGATAGCTCGTGCTCGCTACTATCGCGTTGGGGTTGAGGGTTTGGGGTTTAGGGCGTACTACCCTCCAAGGTTTGGTTGGAGCAGGGCGTGCAGGCAGGCTGTTGTCTGAACTGGCAAGGAAGCGAGGTAGTGATGAAGTAGTAGTTGCTGGTACATCAAAGGAAGAGGAGGAATGCATTTTTTGATATGTAGACATGCCAACACATGTTCTCGATAGTTCGCTATGCAGTTATGCATGCATATACATACATATGTACATATATATATATATACATTTCCATATCTGTATCTATATCTATATATATATATATCTATATATATATATATGTATGTATACAAGTACGCATATATGTGTTTATTTATAGTATTTGTTCATCGAGATATTTATTTGCGTATTCTGTGTGCACAGTTACATAAGCTATATATGCGTGCAGATCTGTGCGTGGATGGACGTGCAGAGGTGTGGAATGCACGCGAGAGTGCAGGTGCAGCATGGCGGCGCCGCCTCCACCTCCCCCGCAGGAGGTGTACAACACCGAGGCAACAGAGTTGTGCCAGGATGTGGGCAGTTGTCGTCTAAATTAGGGTCCCTCTTGGTGACCTTTCTACAAGGGTGCTACTCTATATTGGGAATCTAAAAATGGACCTTAATATAGAGAGCTACCCATGTGTTGTCCCGAATCGCGTGTTTGTTGGTGTTGGGGTTCAGGGTTTAGGGTGTAGGCTGTCTTCTTGGCATTGCGATTTGGGATTCAGGGTTTGTCATCCTTCTGGAAGGCGTTGCAGCTGAATGATGAAGTCGTTGATATGCTGATGCTGCTCGACTACGAGAACAGGCGTGGTTGCTGACGCAATCTGCACCTGACCGAGAGTTATTCTGCTGACTCTGGAAAGGTTTGAAATTTCATGTCTATGCATCTCCTTGTTCCCGCAAGCGTGTTTTGTTCGAAGGCTTTTTGAGAAGTTAGATCAGCTCGAGCTTGCCATGGCCTTGCTCCGCTCCGCCTCCCTGCGCGCCTCCCTCGGTGCCTTCCGTGCAGCAAGCGTGCTCCCCCGGGCCCTCCCGAACCTCACGGCCCCGGTCTCGGCGTCTGGGTTCTTGTTGAGGATAGTTTGGGGTTCCTGTGAGGGTTGTGTAAGGATTTAGGCATTTAGGGTTAGGGAATTGACTTTAAGTTATAGGGAGCTGTAGCAATTGTACAACATGGTAACCTTACTATGGTAACTTAAGTTAAAATGTCTAACCCTAAACCCTCATAGAACCCTTAAAGGACCCTGAAAGGAATCCCTAAAGTAACTTAGCCTAAAGCACCCCAAACTCTAAACCCTAAGCCTCAAAAACCCTAAACCCCAAGCCCTAACCCCTAAACCCTAAACCCCTAAACCCCTAAACCCTAACCCCTAAACCCTAAACCCTAAACCCCACAGCTAAGAGCCCAGGCTTCGAAGCTCCCCGAGCCTCTGAGCGCCGCTTCGATCGGCCTCGGCGCCCCGCTGGCGAAGCGCCATGCAGGGGTCTCCGTGCTGGGCTGCTGGGTGGGGTTTAGGGTTTAGGGTTTAGGAATTTAGGGTATAGGGTTTAGGGTGTAGGAGTTTAGGATTCAGGGTTTAGCGTTGGGTTTAGCGGGTTTAGGGTTTAGGGTTAAGGAACTACCAGTAGGGTTCAGGGTTTAGGGCTCTTATTAAGGAGCTCAAGGTAGGTCACTATGCCCTTAAAGTTCTTTCGAGGGTGGGGTGAAGGAGCTTACAAAGTTATGAAAATTAGGAAACCTGTTTATTTATCAAAGATCCCGACTATGGTAGCTGAGATGAAGTTCCGTATCAACCCTAAACCCTAAACCCTAAACCCCTAAACTCCTAAACCCTAAACCCCTAAACCCTAAACCCTAAACCCTAAACCCCTAAACCCTAAACCCTAAACCGAACCCAAGGCTGTGC